TTTGACTAAAATGAGTCAAATCAAGCCCTTTTTGTTTAGCCAATTTAAGTAAGTTTTAGCATTTGGCTAAATTGGCGAGTGTTAGCGCTACCCCAGCTAGGGTATGTTTAGTAGATTTTCTTCTGCATTTTAATGATTTAATAAGGTTTTGGAAGTTGATTTGATAGTGGGTGAGATTTTTGACTAATACAAGTACTGAAGGGGGTTAAGTTCAAACCACGAATACAAAAAGGGAAAAGAAATTATTTGTGGTAGGCAGTCTAAGTTAGATATTACAATGAAATACACACATACACACACACACACACACACAGTGGCGGGTGTTGGGGGGGGATCCTGACCCCCCCCCCCCCTTTTAATATCTGAAAACAAGTCACACCAATGGTCCCTTCAGAATTTTGACTAGCTGAATCATATCTATAAACCGTGCCAAATGGCACCATCCACCCTCTTAAATACCCAAAATTTTCTGGGCCCTTTAGCAGGTGCTGAACCCCATGCCAGGAGGCAGAAGAGTTGGCTTCACATCCGTGGACTCCCCCTTCAAATAATCCTGGATCTGCCTATATACGAGGGCCAGTCAATAAATAACCAGCCTAACCTATTTCGAGTTGAGATCTACTTCTTCTTTTTCAATATAATTTCCCTCCTGGGCAATGCACTTGGACCAATGGTGTTCAAGTGCAATCAGCCTAGAAGTCAGGGTCCTTTCCATTGAACCACTCCTCAACTGTGGCCACGACTTGGCTGAAAAGACCTGGCTTCATCTTCTAAAGACGTTCTACCGCATTTAAACTCCCCAACCCAGAATTGCACATAAGATGGTGCAGAAGACCCATACACATCAACTAACTTGGCATGTGTATCCTTACCAGTTTTACGAGTACCTTTCAAATGCAAGTACCGAATTACAGGACGTGGATGTCTCGGTTGATTGGAGATGTGTTAGGCTGGTTATATATTGACTCGCCCTCGTATATATATATTTTAAGTTCCTTTGGCACCTTAAGAAAATAACAGTTTTTGTGTAAAATATGACCCATTATTCAGTCACACAAGGTGAAATAAAGGTCAGAAAAGATCATTAAAATGCAAGGTCACATGATCAAATCTCTTTGGTTCTGCCTAGCCTCCAGCATCCCCAGGGCCCGCAGTCGTTCTAGTGTCAGACGTAGCATCACTGAACTTTTTTGTCATGTGTCATACTGGATTTGGTGACTACCTTATATAGGCTTAATTAGTCACCATATATTGAACCTGATAATTTCATACCTATCACGAGACAGGAAAAACACATGATTTTGTAACAGCTGGTTATAAAATCAATGAAGCGGAAATTTTAAACATCCAAGTGGTCAGCCCACTCTCTTATGGCCAAACAAGTACATTTGTACTCATTTACATGGTTGGAATCGTTTCTCGGTAAAGAAGTACAAGAAAGTTTTCTGATGCGTTTTCATTGACTGTCAGTATACATTTGGAAATTAAAAGAAAGTAACACTCAGAATGACTTTAGATGGGACGTCATAAAAAAATCAGGGCCACAAAGAAGAAATCAGCAACCTTTGCCTGGATGAAAAACTGTTAATAATGATAACGCCAGATACTCTAAATAAAAGAACTGAAATAATTACCATGTGTTGGCACAAGGTGACGTAACTGACAAGGCGTGCAACGTCAGTGTCGTCACACCATGCAGATAATTATGTATATACATGTATATATAAATGGCTAAAACACCATTTTCAAATAAACACCTCCTGATAATCAGGCAAACTCGGAGTCGGGGTTGATACATGTCTCGTTTTTTTATAATTATTTATTAATTTTATATATATATGTGAGTGTGTGTGTGTGTGTCTGTCTGTAGCTGAAGGGTTATGCTACAAAATGCTATTTAATATTGAGTTTTATATAAGTAATTGATGGTCAAATATCAATTGAAGTTAATTTTGAAGCATTTTCTGGAAAATAAACCAATATTTATTAAGATAATTTTCACATAGAATATGTCTTTAAGGCATGTTGGTTATATTTCAATGATTTAATAGGGTTTGGGGAATTTATTTCACAGTAGGTGTGAGCAATGATTATTATAAGTACTGCAGGCAGTGTCTCAGTTCAATTGCCCAAAATGGGGTAAGAGAAAAGACATTATCAATAGCACATGTAGTAATTCTAAGTAAGATATAACTTTGATTTATATATCATTGTGTACCTGAAAGGGTTGCTCTAAACAACTAATGAATGTCATGTTAATTGAATTGTGGCTAAACCAGGTAGCTTCACATAATGTCTTTGTTCATAGTAAGTAATTCCTTAGAATATGTTGTATAAAGTTTAAGGAGGTAAGGTGAGCTTGTTTCTTAATTTGATTAAGAAGTTACAATGTAAGTTCAGGAATCCTTTGCCTTGGTTTGAGATTAAAGAGTGGGAGCTCCCACAGATTGTCAGAATGTACCTGAGCATGCAATGAGTGGACATTAAATGATTGAAACTGGTTATTGTTGTCAGCCTTGCATTTCCTAATAGTGATTTACACTATTAAATATTTTGACCACGAATCTGGAAAGTAGTTTAACATGTTATCCAACCTAAAAGTTAACAACAGTGTCCATGTTGAGAGCCTGTTTGTAATTTTTGTTCAGTGCTAACTTCGGGCTGGTTTGTATATACAGGGTAAGACCATGCAGCCTTAACAAGATGTGGCCAGACTAGGTAATCCTGTGTAACATTGTACATTGTAAAGTGACAACTCTACAATTGATGAGTTCACCAAGACTTAGAAGAGGAAAAATCTCCGAGACAATTCGCTTTAAATAAAAATGAGCCAGGAGCAATTCCAGTCCCTAATTGAAAATGTGCAAGTCTTAAACAATCAGAGTGACCAAGATCACTGCGATCAACAAAGATGACATTGACCCCAGAGGACTCTTGATAGAACAGGAAAATGAATTCAAAAGGGAGTTTTAACTATCTCCGAATGTAGATTCATAGTATGAAGTGTTTAGTGGCCATCTATACTCCATCAAGAGACCAACCAGGACCAGCGCCATCTTTTCACATACAGTATATAATTACCATCACCATACCAAAGGAAGTGTGATTAAGGGCAACCAACTGGTAAAACTCTCGACAGAGTATGGCAGAGTTACAGTGGCAGGTTGAGGGGGGTTCAATTTCTGAAAAAAAATCACACCATGTGATCCCCTCTTGAAATTAGAATTTTCACTATCTGAATCACAGTTCTAAACTGTCCAGAATGGCAGCGCTTGCCCTCTAAAATACCAACATTTTTCAGAGTCCTTCAGCGGCCCTGAATCCCACGCAAAGGGGGAAAGGTTGGCTTTGCATCCTTGAACCCCCCCCCTTCAAATAATCCTGGATCCACCCCTGGAATTACATACACACAATGGACAATAGAACTGTCACCCCCTGAATCAGAGTAATCAAAGTCAGCAGATTTTGAGTAGTTATAATGCCTGGTCTACTTATAATGTGACTAATGAGTATAAAACCGCTGTGCCATGAAATTGTCTTTTTTTTTTTTTTTTTGAAATATGGTGTTAATAAAATGATGCCAGAAGAATATCATTCCACAGTCATTTATCTCCCCCAAAGGATTGGTTCAGTAGGGTTGACACTTTTATTGTCCAGTGTGTGTATGGTCCCAAATGTGTGGTGAAATCCAAAATCAATTAGATCGATGAGCAATGTGCAAGGTGTATATCATGTGACAGCAACATGCAGGATATGGTGAAATGCCCATGTCAGTAGTCATTACGTAATCAAATGATTGGAGTGGATCTCATTGGCCCGTTTGTGGAATCTTCAAAAGAAATATATTGCCTCAATTTAATTGATTACCTGTCCAGATGGGTGGAAAGTTACCCCATTCCCAACAAGACCTCTGTAGTGAACCATTAATAGTGCTAATATATTAGATTTGCATATATGAGATTTTCAAATTTAATTTAAAATGTATCTACAATTAAGTTTTAATTTATTCGGATGTATATAGGCATGGCATGGAAGTTAATTTGACATGCTTATTAAGATCAAGCATTAAAGAGGCAACAGAGACATGGATAGATATACAGAGAGAGAGAGAGAGAGAGTAGGCTGGACAGACAGACTTATACACTAGTCGACATTTGCTATGGATCATATTTAATGGACTTTTTTTACCTTTGTATATTTTTTGGGTCTCCAAAATGAAGTTTCACAACCATATCTTTTAGTCATTGATTTTGTTGTTGTTTTGGTTTAATGCACACAAGTAAAAACTTCAAAGCTGGTTCCTCAGCTCACATTCAAGAAGCTGTGTTCCCAGTACACAAACATGCTTGGTCAGTTGAGTGTTGTTGATGGCACAACCAATTCTCCTGATGTGCTTTTGATTGCCAAATTTCAAAATGCCTCCAACAAGACTAAGAAGTCATTTACCACCAGCAGAACTGAATCGGGCTATTAGGTTACTCCAGGGTGGCCAGACACAGTGCCATGTAGCCACTCTCCTCAGTACGTCCCAAAGTGTGATATAAGGTACTGGAGGCATGGGCAGGTGGACCAATGTGGTGGTCGCCAGATACAGACAACACCTCAGCAAGACTGCTACTTGACCTTCAAAACGCCTGGATTGCTTGTTTCCAGCCAATTTGCTCCAGAATGAGTTTTAGAATGCAACAGGGGTACATGTGTCAACTCAAATGGTCCGGAGATGTCTGCATGAAGCACAGTTGAGGGCCAGAAGTCCATCTGTTTGCACTGCTTTGACACGGCAACACAGACAAGTGTGTCTACAGTTTGCAAGACATCACAGGTGGTGGATGATCCAGCAGTGGTCATCTGTGCTGTTCACAAATGAGTCAATGTTTTGCTTACACTTTCTGGATCGACGCAGGAGGGTGTGGAGACGACCCAGGGAGCACAACACTCAGCCAAACATCTTCCAACATGATTGGTTTGGAGGACCATCAGTTCTCGTATGGGGTGGAATTTCAATCCATGGGCGTACTGACCTTCATGTGATCCAGAATGGGACTCTCTCTGGTATCAGGTATCGAGATGAGTTCATTGCCCCTATAGTCCATCCCTATGCAGGTGCTGCTGGCGGCAACTTCATCTAATGGACAAAAATGCTCTTCCCTATCGAGCCAACATTGGAGCAGGAAGGAAATACTGGTCACCACACCTCAGTTGATTGAGCATGTTTGGGATTTGCTCCAGAACCGCAGTCGAGCTCGGCAGAATGCTCCCATACAATTCGGCAACTGGAGGATGCTTTGGTGGAGTAGTGGGACCAGATCACTGAACAGCAGTTATTCTGTTTTATTCAGAGCATGCACAGAAGGTGTATCACGGTTTTTCAGCTAAATGGTGGCCATACACACTACTAGGGAAATTTTGCATCCAATTTCTTGCTGACATGAGACATTTTACTGATGTTTGGCATAAAGTGTTTTTTAATGTGAATGTTTGTTGGCAGTGCTCTCCTGAAGTTTTTTTGGTGGCGATTATGTTCTTTTGCAATTTGATCTTTTTTTCTCAATTTACACTGAAATTGCTGAAATATGGTCTCTTTTAATATTGTTAAGCAAACCAGTCATGATTGTCAAAATTTCATTAGCAAAAGACATGATCCCTAGCAAATGTTGACTAGTGTAGTTTTAGAGACCTGAGTTTTTACTCTGTAGCAGAAAACTGTATCTGCCTGTCTCAGTTGCCCTATTGGTGAAATCCAAATCTAAGAACACGAATAACCACCAGGTTGGTTATGACACTCAGAGGCAGGAGAGTCAGCACTCACCAAACACTGCTTTCCATGATCTGGTTTTCCCGAAATCATCCTTACTGACAAAGAAAAATAATTTTGTTAGAAATCTATCATACATTTCCTTCCAAAAGTAGGTGTTAAACATTGATGGACGACCAGCCACTCACTAGAAGCCAATGGTAAAACAATGGTGCCAGATTACCTCTCACCAATTACCTAACGGCTTCTCCCTCAACACATCCACTGGATAGTTGACTACAGGATATTACAGGATATGACATAAGCAAGGTATGCACCATTCGCCACCAGCAACCTGGAAAAGTCTTAACAGTAAACCAAAATAAATTATGTTTATTGGACCCTAATTTATCTTGGGATGCCAATAGTGGTCGACCTAGAAGGCCATCACCCCGTCGCACCATCTGCCAATCCCATTTGTCACCAAAGATCAAAGAGAAAAGGAATTAGATAACCCAGCAGCGGAGCCTACTGGCAGTAGTCATGGAAGAAGACTTCATCTGAGCTCGAGTGGGATCACTCCGCTGAAACTGAGCTGATACAAGAATATCGTCAGCCTCAACATCACCATCAGACCCACCCAACTACCAGACTCGGCACCGAATGATCCCGAATTCACCGGTAGATCGGACCACACTACCCGTTTTCAAGGTATGCGTCAGTATGCATTTCACAGTATCATACCGGGAACAAATTTTGAGATGAGATGCACTACTATCCAACCCGCTGAGAATCACCACTGTCACATTGCTCACTAAGCAAGAGCGGTGTCGCTTCTGATACTTCAAAGCGCGTACTGATACACACCTTGAAAACGGGTAGTTTGGTCCAATCTACCGGTGAATTCAGGTCCATTTGGTCCCGAGTCTGTTTGTATACAACTGTAGAAAGAGAGGGAGGGAATGGGTGGAATAAAAAGAAGTCATGTTGGACCACAATTTTCGGCATCTCATGGACATCAAGCAAAAGTGTTGCTGGATGATGTCAGAGAAGTACCATGATTTCATAGCCAGATTGAATTTGAGAAAATTCCTATTTTACATCACGTTTTATGTCAAGATGTAGTAAAATTGCATTTAGATGTCTGAAAATTATATTAACTGAATATTTAAATAATTATATTTGCAAACTTTACAAATTAAGTCAAATATCAAATGATAATCTGGTTATAAAAACCAGGAAATCGTTGGTGAAGATGACTTCCATAGCAAATTACCACCTACATCTACCGGAGATTGGAAACCCAAGCACTGGTCAAAATGGCCAGCGAAAAAGTGAGGACTCTACAATCTTGGTGCTGATCAGGGAAAGTCCATGTTTGGCCTTGCCAGAGATGAAGAAAAGAGAGCTCAAGAATATCATTTAAAGTACAAGATGAAATAGCCCAGTTCTGGTATATAGAGTTAAAAAGCTCAACATAGGACACCAACGCCTCAACGATATCTCCAATTACCTGAATATGGTTGCCACCAATCACTCCAGAGACTCGAACAGATTCGCTAACATCACCAGAATTGGACTTAATCGAATTTGGGTCACCAACCTGTTAGATCGTACAGTGTACTCCATGGAACAACTAGTGACCGGAACTATAAGACTTCTTTTCACAAGTTCAGTCATCGAAAAGCTTATTTAGAGCACATGCAAGGTGGAGCTGTTATCTAGGGAAGGCATTTCAACATAATTAAGACATAATACTAGACACCTTTAACATGATTAAACTGAAACTGATTTAAACTTAACTAGGAGATGAAGCCGTAAATAAAGACATTCAGGCCTATACTTGCTTCGTATGAAACATGCATCGCCTCTTTCATTGGCTCTATCGTTCAATTTTTCAAATTTTTGAGATCAAAGTTATAGCAAATTCTAAGATTTTCACTTCTAACTTTTATTAAAGTAAAACCTCTATACTACTTGTAACGTTCCAAAAACGATTTAATCGCAAACAAATGATACCCCTGTCTGAAATAAATTAATTTTAAATAAATCAGATACAAATATAATAATAATAATAATAATAATAATAATAATAATAATAACAACAATAATAATGATGAAAATTATATTTTCTTTCTTTATTAACCTTTATTTTTGAGTGTAAAAACGTGGTAAATATGAAACTTATCTTCCCCTTTTTTCTGACCTCGCAGCCTACACTGATATGTATCAAACCTCCCGATAATCACAATCTCACCATTCAGCGTTTTTAAAACTAACATACAAACATACAAGTTTAACCAAGCATTTCTTCTGATAGAGAGAATATACATGTACAAGAAGCACCATCTCTGCAAAAGTCTACAGAATGAAATTGGAAAATTGGGGAACTGGGCTTGTTTTACGACTCTCTTAGAAATGAAGTATACCTATACTAACCACGTTTTTAAAGTCTCTTGCGCCCCAAGCATTTTACTGGCGTTTTGATACCTCGATCTCCTTAAAGGTCCCACACTTAAAGAAATCAATGATCATAAGCTGATTTATACGGGCAAAAGACCCAACTAATTTGCATTGCAGTTATAAACACCATTTATTTCCGGTTATAAATAATGTTTGAAAGAAAGTGTTATGATGGACTAAAGCAAACAGCTACTGTTTGTCCAACTGTTCGTGGCCGACCCGCTTGAAAGCTGGTCACATAAGCCGTAATATAGACAGTAAATACACTCTCCGCAGGGAATACACGGCAAGTTTTTAAGTTGGTGAGCCATGTTTGATCTGGATCTGTTAGTCCCCGGATAAACTTTGGTTGTGAATCAACCGGTTCAGGATCGTTGTAACACTTGAACGATTAATTAAACTTTTCTTTTCAACATTTGATCAAGTTTGCGTAAATACATCACGGGAAAATGTATGGTACAAACGTATCGAGTCTGCAGTATTTGCTCTTAGGACCAACAGCGGATCAACTGTTCAAATATGGCGACCCACTTAAAAACTCCCCGACTAATTTCCTAAAATACTCTGAATAGATTCCCGGCGGGGACTAGTTAGTCCACTGTTGTGAATGCAGCCTGTCTCAACATGATTGTGACGGTGTCTATGAATTTTATCATATTGTGCTTGTGGAGACAACTTTAATTATAGATGGCGCTGCTTTAACTTATAATTTCTCATGAATGTAATAGAAAGCAATCTCATATAAAGCTTTGGATAAAATTGAGATTCCAAGAATGCACTGCGTTGTTGTTATTCACAATAAAATGAGCCATATGTTGTTTCTGATGATTCGAAAATTCAATTAAATTGTTGATGTCATTTTTTCTGACACGGAGTGATTCAATCACTGCACATCAAACACGATAGCAATTGTTGTTTTCATTTATTATTTAAAATATTGAAAATTGAAGAAGACGTGTTTTGTCATAATGTCCCATATAAAATATTATGTCTGTACAGAGAGCCGTTATCCGTTATCCGTTACTGTTCGACCATTACTTGCTTGCTGTATACTTTTTGCTGTGTTTATTTCCACAACGTGGTATATTGTACTGCTGATTATTACACTTTTGGATTTTCACTGATTTACAAGTCGGTCTTTTTACTTCAGAACAACCCTTTGATATGAATTCCGTTGTCGTGTTTGGTAACACAGCACGGTTGACTGGCGACAAAGATGAACAAAACGAATAACAAGACCAAATAGTCAGTAATTATTACCCACAGCAGTAATGGTACCTTTGAACGATATGTGAAAAAGCAGCTTATGGAGCTGCTACAGCAACTGCTAGACAGCGAAGTAGAGCTACACCAAAGGGAGCCCAGCAGCTAGAATGTTCATACAAATGACAAGTACAGACTAACAGTGATTGAGTGGGAAAACTATTGACAATCAAAGGGGAAATACCAGCTGTTTCTTCGAACGACAGCGCCCCGAGTTTTATTCATTCGAGGCAGCAGTGGAATTGTGGAAGGGTTGCTGGGGCAGATTCCAAAAATTATTCTCTGCTTAGTCCAGACCAGAAAAGAAGCAAGCCACAGTATTCCCGACCGAAGAACTCACGACTTCACTAATAATGTGTTTGTGGTTGTTTACTCTTTAATCGTTTCAAAGTGTAACCGTGGTTGGTTCCACATTTTGATGAGAACGGTGAATCAACGGTGATCTCGCCTGTCAGCATGGAGTTTCTAGTAGTCTTTATTCCTCATACACGGACAAGCACGCAGGGACGCAGGCAGGAGCAGTATTGACGATCTCTAGGGGTCTTTCTCTCCAAGAGGTCCAGTTTTTATAGGGAATCGAACTATCCTGCGTCCCTTAAATCTTACAGTAAGCGTATCTTATAGAAAATAAATTTGTCCACTGTCATATGTGAGTTAGGATACACGGACCATGCCTAAATGTTCTCTTGAATATATAACTGTGACCGACTTGAAAGGAAGATCAATAAAACTATAAATACTGGGACTACATTATTTGTTAAAGTGGCCCTAAACATGGATGTGTTCTCCGGGTAGGAGGTTACATAACTCTCGGGCCTGGGACTGGCTTTAACTAAATTATCTCAGTGCGGTGACTTTTACTGGGGGAAGAAATTAAAAGAGCCAATTAAACGACAATAATGAGGTCAAAGTATTTCAACAATTTTAGAATTGTCACTGAATCTCCCTTTTCTGTCGGCTCAAAAGAGGTGGCCACTCATTATTTAAATTTATAACTTTGAAGAGTCTTTTGTTTCTAATATTGGCTTCGCTTCCGTGATTGAGATTTGAGTTTAAAGACAAGGATGAATTGCACAACACTACCGTGTTAGAATTTCAATACAAGGGGTTACACAAGTTGGAATACAATCAGCATTTGTAACTTTTTTTTAGCAATAAACAGTAACAAAATACTTTTACAATGTTAATTTATTTCCACTAAGAACGGATGGCAGATTTTTAATGACGTGCTCACAAGAAATTGCGTCACCCGTGTGCAGTAGTGGTGCAATAGCACAACAACGCTGCTGACTGCTTTAATATGAATACAATAATATGCGCATAGAAACGCTTTGGCATCGTTTCGTATCTACAGCAGTTTTGTAATCTTATTTTAAAATGTTATCTGAACAGCTGAGCGTTAAGCAACTAGTTTAACCAACATGAAAATATATACCGTTAGGTGTAACATGTGACAAAATGATATATTTATTAACACAAGTAAGTTACAAAAGGAATTAAATGAGATATAATCGACGTTATCCGTCACGACGGTCCTGGTTATTCAAACGATCACGTTATCTAGCATAAACCCGGTTGTCATAGTCAGACGATGATCGATGCTGCTCAGGTTGCCTTTTTCTATTTACACATGATATACATACAAATAGCAGCAGTATTATCACAACTAACCCACCGCAAACACCACCAATGATCACTGGCTCGTGCCACGTGGGGACAAGCACCCTCTCACAACGGGGCCCTTCAAACCCCTCCGCACACTGACACGACACAGGGCCGTCTTGGTTTTCCATGCACTTGCCGTCGTTTTTACACGGAACTTTTTCACAACTTTCAGCACATGAATCCCCGCCATTGGAAGTGTTTCTGTAACCAAGGATACAGTGGCAAGAGTAACCGACTGTCTCGTCTAAACAATCTGCATACCTGGAGCAGGTAACACGTATGTCAGGTGAGTGACATTCATCAAACATAAGATCCAATTTAACCAGTTGCATGTGGTGTGTCTGAAAGGTGTTGTTGATGTTATCTTTAATGTCTGTCAGCGGTGGTTTTGTGTTCGATGATTTCCTTAAAAAATCTACCCGCGTGTCTGCTATCACGCTACCGTTTCGAAATGAAAGCACTTTACATCTAATATAAAAGTATTGGGAATAAGCTGAATCAAGCTTCTCTACGATTGGATAACACGTATAGTTGCTCATATTTTTAAACTGCAGCGTATTAGAATCCGTTAGTAGCGTGTCGAAGGGGGCGTTAATTTTGATCTCTAAGGGCAGTGCAATCACAACAGGCAGCTGCTGTTCCGGGGTGGTCTCCGTGGTGCTGCCACTGTCTGGTGAAGCACATGTTTCACAACAATTTATGATGTTCTCTGGGTTACTACACAGCTTTTTTCTGCAATTCTGGGCCCTGTCTCCGTATGGACAACCTAAAATGTATTGCATAATACATCCCTTAGGCTTATCAAATAGTTTGCTTTTACGTTTAACATTTAAATGCTATTTCCCTTACGAACATTCACTTAAAGACTTCTCATGGGACTCTATGGGACTCTACAGGAACTTAACACGCCCTATAGGAACCTGTTGTTTTTCGAGCCAATTTCTTATAGGTCATATTACATAGTTCACTTTGGGGTGTTCTATACGACCATGCAGACAATTTTTGTAACGGTTGGGAAATATTTTGCATAAATGTATGTAAGTCTAATCATATGTGCAATAAGTATAAATGAATGTGTTAATAAAGAATGGTCATGTGATGAAATACACTGTAATAATGACAGCAACCCACCGTTTATATTTCCTCGGAACTCCCGACATTTTCTGCAGCAGACGTCTGGCACGGGTTCATTTTGAGTTGTTTTATCGTAACATTGTCTTCTGGTGATATTAACACAAAATGGCGCTTTGTCTCCATATAAACAGCCTGAAACAGATTCAAAATTAAGGTAAAGATGAGGGAAAACAACTATTTGTACACTTGACATTTATTATGAAATATTTCAGTTTCGAAGGTATGCCTAGGTAAAAATGCCTTCTTTTTTCAAAAAAACTCCGATCTTAAATGAGATATGTGAATGGAGATGTGTGTAGTCAGGTGTGTCGCTACCAATTAACTGAAAACCAGGTTTGTTGCCCTGCTGAATTTTGTAATATGCAGTGATTTAATTGGGTAGTGCTCCTTTGGGCAGGTCAAAGCATGGTTCTGTCAAAAAAAGTATCTATATGTCGGCAACAACTGCAAAGAAGAATTTGAAATTTTGCATGCAAGTGGTCGGTTTTGTAGTGTGTAATATGAGCTTTGCAGTGCTTTACAAATTGGTTAATCTGTGGCAGAATGGCGCGAAAAAGACGGACATTGCCAGACAGATAATTGCGCCAAACGAAACGGTCCGCACAGTTTTATAGAGTAATGCCCAGGAACCTTTTGTTTTTCAGGCCAGTTTCCTAAAGGTTTGATTACATACNGGGACCCTTCAAACCCCTCCGCGCACTGACACGACACAGGGCCGTCTTGGTTTTCCATGCACTTGCCGTCGTTTTTACACGGAACTTTTTCACAACTTTCAGCACATGAATCCCCGCCATTGGAAGTGTTTCTGTAACCAGGGATACAGTGGCAAGAGTAACCGACTGTCTCGTCTAAACAATCTGCATACCTGGAGCAGGTAACACGTATGTCAGGTGAGTGACATTCATCAAACATAAGATCCAATTTAACCAGTTGCATGTGGTGCGTCTGAAAGGTGTTGTTGATGTTATCTTTAATGTCTGTCAGCGGTGGTTTTGTGTTCGATGATTTCCTTAAAAAATCTACCCGCGTGTCTGCTATCACGCTACCTTTTCGAAATGAAAGCACTTTACATCTAATATAAAAGTATTGGGAATAAGCTGAATCAAGCTTCTCTACGATTGGATAACACGTATAGTTGCTCATATTTTTAAACTGCAGCGTATTAGAATCCGTTAGTAGCGTGTCGAAGGGGGCGTTAATTTTGATCTCTAAGGGCAGTGCAATCACAACAGGCAGCTGCTGTTCCGGGGTGGTCTCCGTGGTGCTGCCACTGTCTGGTGAAGCACATGTTTCACAACAATTTATGATGTTCTCTGGGTTACTACACAGCTTTTTTCTGCAATTCTGGGCCCTGTCTCCGTATGGACAACCTAAAATGTATTGCATAATAGGCTTATCAAATAGTTTGCTTTTACGTTTAACATTTAAATGCTATTTCCCTTACGAACATTCACTTAAAGACTTCTCATGGGACTCTATGGGACTCTACAGGAACTTAACACGCCCTATAGGAACCTGTTGTTTTTCGAGCCAATTTCTTATAGGTCATATTACATAGTTCACTTTGGGGTGTTCTATACGACCATGCAGACAATTTTTGTAACGGTTGGGAAATATTTTGCATAAATGTATGTAAGTCTAATCATATGTGCAATAAGTATAAATGAATGTGTTAATGAAGAATGGTCATGTGATGAAATACACTGCAATAACGACAGCAACCCACCGTTTATATTTCCTCGGAACTTCCGACATTTTATGCAGCAGACGTCTGGCACGGGTTCATTTTGATTTGTTTTACCGTAACATTGTCTTCTGGTGATATTAACACAAAATGGCGCTTTGTCTCCATATAAACAGCCTGAAACAGATTCAAAATAAAGGTAAAGATGAGGGGAAAACAACTATTTGTACACTTGACATTTATTATGAAATATTTCAGTTTCGAAGGTATGCTTAGGTAAAAATGCCTTCTTTTTTCAAAAAAACTCCGATCTTAAATAAGATATGTGAATGGAGAAGAGTGTAGTCAGGTGTGTCGCTACCAATTAACTGAAAACCAGGTTTGTTGCCCTGTTGAATTTTGTAATATGCAGTGATTTAATTGGGTAGTGCTCCTTTGGGCAGGTCAAAGCATGGTTCTGTCAAAAAAAGTATCTATATGTCGGCAACAACTGCAAAGAAGAATTTGAAATTTTGCATGCAAGTGGTCGGTTTTGTAGTGTGTAATATGAGCTTTGCAGTGCTTTACAAATTGGTTAATCTGTGGCAGAATGGCGCGAAAAAGACGGACATTGCCAGACAGATAATTGCGCCAAACGAAACGGCCCGCACAGTTTTATAGAGTAATGCCCAGGAACCTTTTGTTTTTCGGGCCAGTTTCCTATAGGTCATATTACATAGTTCACTGTGGGGCGTCCTATAGGACCATACAGGCAATTTTTGTAACGGTTAGGAAATATTTTGCAAAGACATATGTAAGTCAATTGATATATAAAATAAGTATAAAATCAAAGTTTTAATAAAGAATGGTCATGTGATGAAATACACTGTAATAATGACAGCAACCCACCGTTTATATTTCCTCGGAACTCCCGACATTTTCTGCAGCAGACGTCTGGCACGGGTTCATTTTGGTTTGTTTTACCGTAACATTGTCTTCTGGTGATATTAATACAAAATGGCGCTTTGTCTCCATATAAACAGCCTGAAACAGATTCAAAATTAAGGTAAAGATGAGGGAAAACACCAATTTGTGAAATGTTACCACGGTTTCAATTCCTGCCCCTTCGTGTCCTGCGCCAAGCTTGTCCATCCTACCCTTTCAAAGCCCTCTACTCAAGCTCGTATTGCAAATGCAAGCTTAATACAAGTTTATAACTATTAGGGCATTTTCCTGGCCTGGAAGTATGCTTTAGTGGAGTGACATGAGAGGTCAGCGGACTCTCTGGTTGAACCCTACCCTGCCAAGCTCTCAAAGGTGAATTAACATAATTTAATGAAAATACTTCCTCCCGGTAACGCAATAAACCTGCACGAGACACCCCAGGAGGCTACAATGACAGCGGGGAGTTAAAATGGAACCCTCACCCCTGTGGAATCAGACATCCGCCTTTGACGGATCTCATCGTACAGAAATATAAACGCCACTATTTTTTTCTGAGGGGAGACAGATACAATATCGAATATTTAGATGCAGGAAAAACCTCATTTTCGGTGGTGTCTGGCTGATGATAAAGGTTTACAATATTCTTATATAGCCTGTATCACCTGTCTCACCTGTATCTGAGGCGTTGTAGACGTCCGAGCAGCTGTCACAGCAGTATCCCCTAGCCACCTGACTGTAGCAGTGCCACGTGACCTGGGCAGTCTGGAAATCTCTACATGTTCTGGTGTCATTGATAAACACTGTACCTCGTCTGTCCCCGTGCTGACAAATATCTATAAAATATGTACGACTTCAAGCATAAATCTTAAACGTCTACACTAAATAATATATGCCTACCTATTAATTTAAAGTCAATGAACAAATCTGGCAAATTCAGGGTTTTGCAAATCGTGTGTTGGAGGAGAGGGGCAAGGATAAAAACAGTACACGAGTGTTAAAATCGTTTAAATCGATCAAAACTATAATGATTTCAATTTTCTTAATAACATGCTCTTAATCAATCAAAATAACTTTGTTTAACATTAAAAGTCATTTGGTATCGCTTGAACTTACATGTATAATTAAATGAGGCCAAAGTAATTGTCAATAAAATGTAGTATATGTAATACAACATTTCCAGGGTCAGAGAGAAGAGCTACTGATGAGAAAAAAAGGTTTTGTATGTACATCTGTCGCTGCCAGGGTAAAGCAAAAAAAGGTATGTGTGAGTGACCGTTATATAATATGGGTGTCGCTGGAAAAATAAATCAAGCCACTGATGATGATGACGATGGTGACTGTACATTTCCGAGCATAAAATACTAATGTAGAGCAATGCAGCATGCTGTCTTTTACTAACAGACATATACGCTCCATTTTAAGTATTTTGGCTTTAGTTGTCTATGTCAGCATTTCATATAATGCAAATATTGAGCAGTGAACCATGTGATATACCAAACTACTGGTATGTAGAAAGGTACGACATACATTACTTATATTACTTAAGTTAAAGAACTATACAGGATAAAAACTGAAAAAAGATCAATTACATTATTCAATATATATATATATATATATATATATATATATATATATATATATTTGATTTTAACATACATGTAAAGAAGATACTTATTTTGTTTCCAAACAAACATTTTGCTGCACATTACCTTTTGCCTCGGGAGCCAACTCGTTTGGTTCACAGCTTCCTGACTCACACCACTTATATATTGGATATGGAAGTAAAAAGTAGAACGGTGTTTGTGATAACATATATGTGCGAAGTTCACAGGACTGCCCACGGGTTTTCTAGGAGAGTCACTCTGTTGATGTCTAAAAACACCATGAAGAGAGGGTTATTAAAACTTTTTTATTAGTTCATGAAAACGGCCCCTTAGGTATTCACGTACATGATGGAATTTTACGCATGATGTTAATTGACTCATATTTGAAGATCTATTTTCGAGGCGTTTTTTTTTTCAAATATCCGTATCATAAAACTACGTACCGGTATTCTACTTTTAAATACCGGTACTACTGCCGTATTTATACATGTAGTGGTGTCTAAACATTATCATGATACAATGCCATGATCTGTGCCACAACAAATATACACCCCATATGCAGTCGTAAGTAAGATTTGTTTTTTTTACCTTCTTGTTTCCGCACGTGGTTCCCCGTGCTGCGTGTATACCTCCGCCCTGGATGCAGGTGCCGTCTACCGGGCTGTAGCAGGACATGCGTGCGCAAATCTCTGAGTCTGCCTTTTCTCCCTGTAGATTGACATGCGTGTATTGAAATTAGGGAGAAGTGTGTGCTCCGTTTTCATTTTTTAAATTTTGCAATAGCAAATTTAGTTAACAAGTGGATCTATGAAAAAACTTTTAATAGATTGATTACTGAGACAAAACCTACTGAACGGTCTACAAAGCCACCTACATGTATTACAGCCGTGCATCAACTTCTGTCTGACCTGGAAGTGGCCATAAAATAACGTTTCTCAACTTAAACTCTTACGTACGATCTCATCATAAATCGAGCAATGCAATAAAAAAAAAGCTGACACTGGTCTTCCATGTCTTGGTTGTTAAATGCAAAATACTTACTTGTGTTGCACTTTTTTGACCATCAAAATTTCTCTTGGAAATTTCAGCATTTTCTCCCTTTTCAATCAGGAGCATTGTGAAATGACGATGCAGTGTATATGCGCCCGTTGTTTCACCGTCTCTGCCTTCTACACGACAGTGACTCACAGTCTATACTTACTTATATTGACGACATCTACACACCGAGCAGCATTTTCACTTACACCGGTATGTTTGGAGGGCCCTCTAAGGTAATAATGCTAAACAGGCTTTACTCTCTTTCACACACACACACACACACACACACACAGGTTGAAGTCAATGTCGCTCTTACCCCACAATAGTAAGACTGAGGACCGTATAGCTGCCTGCACTGTGCATCTGGCGGGTACTTCTGACCTGGGAATGTCTTCATGTAATCCTCCCAAGAAGTCTCGTTCTCTGGCTTGGCTGTGTTGTTCAGGCAATTTTCTTCACTATAATGACCAAAGCATGACGCTGTTGTGTTAGAATCAACTCCCCAGCTTCATTAGCAATGCGTGTAAATACAGGAATCCCGTTTAACGTACAGTAACAGAGCCGGATTTTTGGGCTAATACTTAACTTACCTTGACTTATGTTTTGTTTTATAGACGATGATTAAAATCTACTTACTCTTACCTCGTTTTTGTGTAAATTCCCAGCCGAAAAAGTTAAGCCTAATTCAAGGTAGGTTGAATCTGCTTGTAGTTTAGAACACAAAAATACAGGTAAAGTAATTAAGAGCAAATTGCTCTCATACATATATACCTTTACAATGTGTCACCTATTTTCGTTGTATCTCCCTCACCTGTTCAACTCAGAGATCTTCTGGCGGAAAGCTTCCACCGAACACTTTGAGAACGTGAAAGCATTCCTCAGTGCTGACAATGGGGCATTACCGTCCGAAACGGCCGCCATGATGTACTGCTGGCTCCCATTGCATGTATTATTATCTCCATCATGTACCGCACCTAGGCTGGAGAGAATTGAAATAGTTCGTATACGCTATATTATGTTCAAACTAAATGCAACTAACCCATATTATTGCAAACCCTTTGAAAAACCCATGATGGTAACGCTATATATTATTTACCAAACAGGAAAAGTATATGCGTGTATGGATGAAGCTCTGCCGAGGGAACTCAAGGACGTTAACATATAATGAATTATTAAATTATGTCTTCATGATGCTCTTATTCAAACAATTTTACATTTATCATGAGTTTCTTCGTGACTGATGTCATGTGACAAGGAATAATCCCAACTGCATACGTCTATCGTCTTACTTGTGTCCCATTTCGTGTGAGCTGACACCTATGCATGCAAACCCTCCGTGATCCTCGTTAATAGACGTCCTGTCCCGCTTACATATCTGACCCACCTTGGCGACACCTGTAGTTGTTAAACAGGCAGTTAGTAACACGGCTGCAGTGCTTGTTGTAGGAGTGATATTGGTGGTAACAGCAAAAAATTTGTAAAAGTGGTTGCTGTTTTTTGTACTACTATCAACATTGCATGCTAAAACAAAAGTGGCAGTAACAGTGGCATTGGAATGTTTTCTTCAGATATAAGCGTTATTCGGTTGAAGAAGCGAAGAAGCAGCACTTGCAAATCCCGGATATACAACATTGGTCAAAAAGGTTGTCCCACCTTCACTATCATGTGCTTTTATTTATAAATGATCACATCACAGGAAAAGATTGTTATAAAAAGTGACTTTCATTCCAGATACCATAACTAACATGATTAGTGATACAGAAAATACAAACTAGCGGTGAAGATATAAAAATGTAATACCATTAATTCACATTTCTTACATGCACCCCCTAAAAACCGACGTTTCAGTGTGATTTTCACAGAGGCAAAGAAATGTCCATTAAATTGACATTGCTCCATCCTGACACCACCAAATGTCACCAAATTTTCACTCATTTAGCATTAGGGTGTGCTCGTTAAAGTCTCTTTGTGTGATAGCGTTTGTGTTTACTGCGTATTGTAATTACCTCCTGTAGGTGGCGCGGCCTGCCTTCAACAAGGGCAACAATTCTGTTTTATGGAATATTGTCCCATTTTCCGAAAGAGCTTGGGGGGAGTTGGTCCTGATTATTAGAAGTTACGTTTTCCTTTGCATTGCACACTTCAATTCATGCCACATATGTTTAGTATGGTTAATAATAGGGCTCAAAGATGGTTGCTCCATCCTCTGAACAATGGGTTTTTGACGCCTGCAGTATCCCTGAAGTCACCTCTTGCAAATAGAGTGAGGTATTTGTTAAGAATGTTTCAGTAAATTGACCAAGTATCGTTCTTTTCCGGAGAGAACATTGCACTAAAACCATGGGTTTGGAATTCTCTCGAAACGTGGACTGACCTGCCACCTCAGGCGATATTATCCTGCACAAACCTACCAAAAAGCATTCTGCAACATGTCTACGGGTCCTAATTTGACCATCAAAGGCATACAAGAAATACCCTGATTCTTCAGCAAAACCAACATGTTCCTAGTGATGGTTGACCAAGTTCTGGTAGTTCTGGGATCACTGAACCCAGCATTCTCAACTGATACCTCATTCCATCTGCAAGAGAGGACTTCGGGGGTGATCCAGGCTTCATCATGACAGCACACTTGCAAACAGTTATCATGTGGTGAATGATTTGTTGCAGAAACCCAATTTCCGGAGGCTGGAGAAACCATGTTTAAATCCAGATGATAAACCTACTGAGCACCCGTGGCATGAATTGAAGTGTGCAATCCAAAGGAGAGCCAAATTCTAAATAGTCCGGACCAATTCCGCTAAGCTTTCTAGGAAACAATGGGCAACATTCCACAAAACAGAATTGTTACCCTTGTTGAAGGCAGTGGCGCCGTCTACATGAGATGATTACAGCACGCGGTAAACACACACGCTAATAGACACGTGACCTTTACGAGCACACCCTAATGCTAAATTTGTGCAAATTTGGTGACACTTTGTTAAGTCCCAGACTTCGTCAGTCAGACTTTACGTGAAAATAATGTCACGTTAGATAACGCGCCGGTTCTTGGGCCTTAGTGTTGTGCGCCCAGCTGATCCAGTAAAACGAACAAGATTCTCATTTGATGCAAGTGGAAATTTAATACCGTCTTTTGGAAAATATACAGAGGTTTCTTCTACATAGTAACTGTCAGTCCAAAATGTATAATGATATCGCCGGAGCCAAAATACGATATGATTTCACCTTAAAACAGGGCAGCCTTTATAGATCATTCAGGAATTTTAATAACCAGGAAGAAATAACACTTGACTGAGCGCAGTCCTTTTGTCTCAGGCTTTGCCCCAACTCAGTCACCGTGTTTCCTGGATCACCATTATCATCCCTAGCCTTCAAAGGCATTTCTAAATTTTATCTCGTGCCATGTGCCCCGGTCACGATCATTCCCGAATGTCTATTGACTGCCCCCTTCTAAGCTTATCTTAGGATATGAATATTATTTTAATTAATTATTTATATAAATCATAAAATACCCAAAGTGGTATTTTACAACTTGGTGGTGTCAAATCAATTTAATGGGCATTTCTTTACCTCCGTTGAAATGACAGTGGAACATCGGATTTGAGGGGGTACATGTAATAAATGTGAATTAATGGTATTAAATTTTGATATCTTCATCGCTAGTTTGTATTTTCTTTATCACTAATCATGTTAGTTATGGTATCTGGCATAAAAATCCCCATTAATAGCAATAAACCCCTGCGGTGTGATCATTTATAAATAAAAGCACATGAAGCTGGGGGTGGGACAACCTTTTTGACCAGTGTTAATTCTCATGCCAAAAAGAAAATGTTGGAAACATCGTCGTACCTGCCACAGACACTGCTTTGTTACCGCTTGCGTCCTCGCCGTTCCATATGTCATACCTGGAAAGGTAGTACGATATAGAAAAAATAGCAACCCGTAGCAAAATGAAACGTTTCCAGCAACATTGCAACAACAAGTTTGAAAGAAAAAATCTTGCTCCTAATTTACAGCAATATTGCAGCAAATTTGCCTGCTAAGGGAACGAACGGAAGATAAAATGGCATTCATTTTAGTCCTTATCAATTTTTTTTTCATTTCAAATTATGATTGTAAGCAACATCCATTTACAAGAGAAGCATAACTGGGTGTTTAAACTATCAGCACCGAACTGGTTAGCTGACTTGTGTTGTACGGGTGTTATTAAAACATTGGGAAGACAGAAAAAAACTCGTTCAAAGCAAGGAGCAAGGGTGCACTTACCCAGTAAAGAGCATCGCATGATCAAACGTGGGTAAAGTGTTTCTAGTACTATCTTCGTTAATCCAGTCTGTAAAGTTCCTTAATGCAAGCTTGGCGTTCACTAAAGGTCTTGGTGTCGCGTCGCTCTTAATGTCTGTTGATTCAGTCCAGATTGAGGACATCAGGTCCTGGAGTGGAAATATATAGACTACAGCAATACGTTAGATCACA